AAACAAAAAAAAAAAAAAAAAAAAAAAAAATGACGCGTTCACTTGGGCCTGAACGTAGAGCAAATGTTTCAATATGTGAGTCAGTGGAGGACATCTGATGTTACTTGACAATTTCCCGTGCTGCATAATGGACAAGGTATTCATCTATAGACCAACAGTTTGTGTCGGCGCTATTTGTTTCTTCGCTCCGGATAATCCACAAAAAAGAGCGAATGTGCAGCTATTATCCGTCTGCCAGACCCACTGACGCTCGGATGGGATTTTGTTTTCTTTATAAAAGCGCTGGGAAATAAACTCATTCTTTAGTATCGCGGTGTCTCAACCAGTCAGGCGGAAAAGCAGCAGCAGCAGAAGAAGAATAATAAAAAAAGGGAGATACCGAACCAATTGCGGCACCTTTCAGCTGCTGAGGCTGGATCAAAACACTCTTGAGAAACCGCTTAAAACTGAAAGAGAAAGTGAGAGACTAAATCCTATAGACGGGATTTGGAGCCATATAGGCAGCGAAGGAGAAGGAGAAAGGGATGAAAGAGGGAGATCGGCGCCGAGGTTTTTATTCGTCAGTCTTTGGGATATAGAGCTGTCTTCTGTTTGGGGCCCCTGTCACTCTCCATGTAACCTTTCTGTGTGTTCAGTCCTCTTGACTGATGGAAAACATATTTTAGATCCCCTGAGACAAATACTTGAAGGGTCGGTGATAATATTAACAGCATAGATTATTATTATTATTATTATTATTATTATTATTATTATTATTATTATTATTATTATTACTGAGGTTAATTATGATACTGTCATAGCTTATATCGAATGTTATAATTATATAATACTTACTGTAATAATATAAAAATTCTTACTATTTTGTTATTATTATTATTATTATTATTATTATTATTATTATTATTACATTGTTGGGCATATAATGATGGTAATACTTTTATATTGACATCTAATTTATAAGTAGATATTAATATATAATTGTATGCTTACGTTTGACATAAACAGTCATTTTCAATATGATATAATAATACTATATATTATTTATACTACTTTTAAATAATAATAATAATAATAATAATAATAATAATAATAAGAATTAGTAACTTGTTTCACTGCGTGGTTACAGCCCCACGTGTTGAAATGGCCATTACATAAATTCTAATTTCCTCTGCATTTTCTCAGATCCACACTTGCATTTCCGCCTTGTGGTGCATGTAAAACAAACACAAATAAAATATTTCCTTGTTTAATTTGTTCGTTTTTTTTTTTTTTTAAAGACATGATCTGTTACGTCTGATCTTTTCTGCACAAAGTTAGGCCTGTAATGCGCAGGCCCAGCAGCACCGAAGCCCTCTGAAGTGGAACATTTCCACAGCAGCCCCACCATCCATCTCCACACTCCTGCATGTTGCCATAATGAGACACAAAGCCCCCCTCTAATGAGCAATTACACATAGTGCGGGCCGTTCCCATAACCAATCATTGCGTGTGAAGGAAAACATTCCTTTGTACTGATATCCGCGCACACCGCTCCGCGGCTCTGCCTCCGCCTCTTCATCAGTGGAAAAGGGGAGGAAGTGCAGGGCTGTTGGATGGACACCTCTGCTGAAAGGACAAGCCGTTGTCACGCACATCCATGTCTGGGACAGTGGAGGCATTCAGTCTGCATGTATGGCCTTCAGCTTCCTCTAATAGAAAACCCTTAATTGATGGACTTGTTAGGGAGGGCGCAGGCTTACAGTACCTGCCTGCAGACAGAGTGGCATGGCAGCTCGTTCTAATTTCAAGCTGCAAATCAAATATATTAGCGAGTGACCACATCAATAAGAGCCGGAGTGCCCCGGCTTTATCATTGCAATCGTCAGAGGGAGACTGGAAGCCGCGTGCGTCAAGGTGTCTCTATCGACACTGCGTGATAATGAGGCTCACCTTGGTTGGGCTGCCCTGGCACTGATGTTCCGGGGTACCAGCCTGGCCGGGTCCCCCAAGTTCCTGTCTGACCGTTGAGCATTCTCAGCTTGTCATACATGCCATCTGCGCCCATCTGTTGCTTTTCACTCGCCAGGTTGCGGAGGACTCTGTTTATTGATGACACCTGAATGACAAATTACATATGATCAAACTGAGGATCCGAGTCAGAGGACGAAATGCATAAATAAATAAATAAATAAATAAATAAATAAATAAATAAATAAATAAATAAATAAGATGTTCACTGAGTTCATCTTAAAATTTGCGCTTTTTAAAAGCGCACAAATGGTTCCTGCTCGGTTGGCGCATGTCAGGGTTAGGGGATTTCATACTGTACTGCCCCTCCACTTTGAAAACGCGGTGTATTTAATAAGACTGAATGGTTGGGTGCCCATCTCTTTTTCCTCCACTGCATGGGAAAAAAGTCACTTCATGTGGCAAATTAAATCATGCAACACAACTTCCAGTCAATGCACTTACGCTGGGTATGTTGTCGTTGGTGCAGATCCCCTCCGACAGCAGCCGGTCGCGGATCTCCCAGGCAAAGATCGACGGACACTCCCGCTTGTACTGCGCGATTTTGGCGACCACCTCCGGAGTGGCGACACGGGGCTTGCTGCCGCCTATCGCTCTCGGTCTTATGGAGCCAGTTTCATAATATCTGCCCAGGATCTTGCTCACGCAGCCGTTGGACACCTGGACGGGGAACAAAAGACACAATTCACATACATTATTTATGACTATTAATGGAATGTCTATGATGGCTCAAATAATTTTCACCTTTTCACTGTCCAGCACTTGGACTTCATCATGGGTCTACAAACACAGAAAATATGCCTTCAATTGTACATTAGGCATTTTTCTATATAATAGCAGGCAGAGTACTGTTCTTTTTCTTTTGTTGTTGTTGTCGTTGTCGTTCTTCGCGGTCTAATTACATTTGCAGAGAGCAAATTATATAATTTTATTGCCTTGAAAGGGACAGAAAATCGCGTTTTAAATGATCTTTTAGGAGTTGCGTCATTTCCATTCTGCTCCAAGAGATCATTTTCAGACTGTGGACATAGTCTGCATAAAGATTTGATACATTTTTACTTGCAAAATAAAAATTAAAAATAAAAAATAAAAAAATAAATACAACACAAGAAAAAATAAAACGTCACCTGCAGTATCCTGGAGATGTCGCAGGGTCGAGCGCCACTATGAGCAAGTTCAACTATTTTCTGCCTGGTGGAATCCGGCAGCGGTCTGCCATTAACAAACACACCACCAAGCTGGTTTACGCCACTGTGACCTACATGGAGACAAAAGCGTCGGAGTCATCACATCACGGCGCAGCGTGGCAACAGAAGCAGGTAAAAAAAAAAAAAAAAAAAAAAAAAAAAAAAAAAAAAAAAAAAAAAAAAAGGATTTTTTTTTAAAGGGGGGG